TATATATATATATATATATATAAAGTGATCATTTTATTAAAATCTCTCGTCTAATTGGTAAAGAGTCTTAAAACATTAGAAATCTGATTTGAGTACGGAGCAGACCTTGCTGGTTGCTTGAGAGCAAAAGTCCCATTTCAAAGGAAGAAAAAGCTGATTCGAAAAATAAATAGTCATTCATTATTTACAATCAGCTATTTATAACTAGTTATAGGCCTTAGGCTGTAGGATTAAAAAATCTACTCTAAATCTAACAACTAGTCAAAAATTGGTTACGGTAAGTAGTAACAGTAATAAGACTATTTACAGTTGTAACTTAGATTAATTACACATGTGCTGGTATACTAATTAACACTCTTGAGTGAGTACATTAATAACACTCATCTTGCTGACTAAGTGGTGATATTGTTTGCAATTTGAGGCGCTGGTGTGAACGTAGACTGTTTCAATCTCCCTTGCCATCACTTTATCCCGAATGTAGTGACAGTCAATCTTAATCTGTTTGGTTCTCTCTTGCAAAATTGGATTCTTGCATATGTAAAGAGCAGATTTGTTATCACAATGTAGTTTCACTGCACTGTCATGAACAATATCAAAATCTGCTAGAAGATACTTCAATCAAGTGATTTCACAGCTTGGTGATACCGTAGACTGGTATTCTGCCTTCGTTGAGCTGCGCACTGCCACTGTTTGTTTCTTAGATTTCCATTTCACTAACGAACTGCCAATGAAAATACAAAACCCAGTTATCAAAATCTGTTAATGATGTGAGAAACAGTAAGTATAGCATCTCCCCAGAATTTTATTGGTAGACTGGATTGGAATGATAAAAATCTTATTACCACTGGCAAAGTTTGTGTTTTCTTTCAACAACACCATTTTACTGTGGTGTTTTAACACAAGATAACTGAAGCACAACTCTATTTAAAGCATAACCTCTTTCAAATTAAATTCTGGACCATTGTCAGTTTGAATTTGTTTGATGGTACAATTAACTTGGTTTTTCACTAGATTAAAAAATATAGATATGATGGTTTAAACATCTGATTTGGCTCGCATAAATAAAATCCATGTGAACCAACTGAAATCATCAACAAGTGTAAGGATGTAGCGATTTCCAGTAATTGTACAAAGAGTAAAAGGTCCCTAAAGATCAGCATGTAATAGTTCAAAAATAACAGAAGTATTCTGAATATGTTTTGGAAAAGGCAATTTCTTTTATTTGGCTGAAGGGCAAATATCAGAATAAAACTCATCATGATAAGTAATCTCAGGAAAAAGTTTATGTACCATCCTTATTTTATCAACTGGAACATGGCCAAGTCTACAATGCCAAAGATTGAAATGTTTGGAAACCTTGGAACAAGAATTCACAAAGACACCAGATGGAATTTTCACAAGTTTGTCAGAACTATATCTGTCAAAAGATTGTGCATCTTGATTGTCTAGCATGAAGCATAATCCTGATGAGACCTTAGCAACCCCAATCACAGT